GCACCTCCGAAAATGAAATATTTAGGTATAAATGTAATAAATACGTCCAAGAACTAAAGGAGGAAAACAACAAAATACGGATGAGCAAAATCAAAGAACTAAATAAATGGAGAGATACTTAAGGTTCATGGAAAGGAAGACTCAATATTGTCAAGATGTCAGTTCTTCCCAACTTGGATCTATAGATTCAATGTAATCTCAATCAAAATCTCAGCAAATTATTTAAATGATATTGACAAACAGATTCTAAAGTTTATATGCAGAGGCAAAAGATCCACAATATCTAATTCAATATTGAAGGAGAAGAACAAAGTTGGAGGAATGACACTACCCAACTTCAATACTTACTATTAAGCTACAGTAGTCAAGACAGTGTAGTATTATCAAAAGAACGGAAAGATAGATCAGTGGAACAGAATATAGAGCACAGAAATAAACATACACGAATATAGTCAACTGATCTTTGACAAAGGAACAAAGGCAATACAATGGAGCAAAGACAGACTTTCAAAAAATGGTGCTGAACAACTGGAGGTCCATATGCAAAAAAAAAATCAATCTAGATACAGACTTTACACCTTCAGAAAAATAATTCAAAATGGATCTATGACCTAAATGTAAAACACAAAACTATAAAAATCCTAGAAGATAACCTAGGAGAAAACCTAGATGACCTTAGGTATGATGATGACTTTTTTAGATAGAACACCAAAAGCATAATCCAAGAAAAAAATATTTTACAACCTGGACTTCAGTAAAATTAAAGACACACGCTCTGCAAAAGGTAACATCAAACAAATGAGAGGAAAAGTCACAGACTAAGAGAAAATATTCACAAAAGAAACATTTGATAAAGGACTATTATCCAAAATATACAAAGAACTCTTAAAATTCAACAAGAAAATGAATGATCAGATTTAAAAATGGGCCAAAAACTTTAATGGACACTTCTCCAAAGAAGATATACAGATGGCAAAGAAGCACATAAAAGTTGCTCCTCATCATATGTCATCAGGGAAATACAAATGAAAACAATGAGATACCACTACGCACCTATTAGAATGGCCAAAATCTTGAACACTGACAACACCAACTGCTGGTGAGGATGTGGAGCAACAGGAACTCTCATTTATTGCTGGTAGGAATGCAAAATGGCACAGCCACTTTGGAAGACAATTTTGAAATTTCTTATAAAACTAAACATACTCTTACCATAAGATCCAATAATTGCACTCTTTGGTATTTACCCAAAGGAGTTGAATACTTATTTCCAAAAAAACACCTACACATGGACATTTATAGCAGCTTTATTCATAATTGCCAAAGCTAGGAAGCAACCCAGATGTCCTTCAGCAGGTGAATGAATAAACTGTGGCACATCCAGACAATGGAATATTACTCAGCACTAAAAAAAAAAAAATTAGCTATCAAGCCATGGAAAGACATGGTGTAACCTTAAATGCATATTACTAAGTGAAAGAAGTCAATCTGAAAAGGCTACATACTGTATGACTCCAACTACATGACATTCTGGAAAAAGTAAAACTATGGAGATAGTAAAAAGATCAGCAGTTGCAGGCTTTAGAGCAAAGAGATAAACAGGCAGAGCACAGAGGATTTTTAGGGCAGTGAAACTATCCTGAATAATACTATAATGACGTACACATGTTGTTATACTTTGTCCACACCCATAGAGTATACAACACCAAGAGTGAACCCTAAGGTAAACCATGGACTTTGCTTACGATGCATCAATTTAGGTTTACCAATTGTAACAAATGTACCTCTCTGGTGGGGCAATGTTGATAAGAGGGAAGGCTATGCATGTGTGGGTATATAAATGGTGGTATATTGGAAATCTCTGTACCTTCTTCTCAATTTTGCTGTGAACCTTAAACTGCTCTAAAAAATAAAGTCTTTTAAAAAAACAAAACTAAAGACGAAAGTAAAATGGAAGTTCAAGGGGATAAAAATTTTCCTTGGTCCTCCAGAAAGGTGAGAGAGGGTGAGAGTTCCTTCAATAGGGTACAGCGGGAAAGAAAATAGTGAAGAAACAAGTTGAGCACAGGCTTCCTGAGTAAATAAATTTAAATAAAGGGAACAGTAAAAAGATTTTTGCTCTACACTGCTTGTCAGGAAGAGTAGGGGGAGGAACAGCGGTTAAACAGAGAGATGAAGCACAAGGAATGGAAAAGATCAGAGCCCTCGCATGAACTGACCAACCCACGCACCACGAGCTCCACGGTCCGTGATCCAGGATCCTCTTCATTTGGCTTCAGCTTCTTTTTATGAAGAAGGAAAAAGACTTGAATGTGAACAAAAAAATTTTTTAAAGTGCTTCTCTATAATTTTCACACAACAGTCATAGTTCTGCCTATAGTAATCAAAACAACCTAACTGGCATTAACTGTAAATGGGCATAAGGCATGTTATTGGGGTGACAGAAATGTTATAAACCTGGATTGTGGTGATGGTTGCACAACTTAGTAAATTTACTAAAAATCATCAAATTGTTCACTTAGAACAGGTGAAGTTAATGGTATATAAAGTAAACCTCAATAAAGTTCTATTAAAAAAATCTATCTCACTCTTCTTTATGGCACTTCTTCAGATACTCTCTACTCTCCTCCCACAGAAAAAAAAGCCCATATGCCTCCACAGAATATCATTTTTCAACTTATTATAGTTCAATTCCTCTGACATCCCTTTTAAAATGTGGAATCCAAGATTAAACACACATTTCCATTGTGTTTTACTTGGACAGAATTAATGGGTTTACTACTTAACTGTATTGGCATATTTTATTCCAGTTACTGTAGCTTATGACTGTTTAAACAACCATATCACACTGTTTGATTATATTAAACATAAATAAAATCCCTATACTTTTTTACCCCCTACAATCAACCGCCAAGGAAATTTACTCCCACTCACATAGTATACAATATTTTTTCACTTTTTACTTAAAATTATTATTAGTGAAAATTTGAGAAAAACAGAAAAGAGGGAAGAAGAAGAAAAACCATAGCTGATAATGTGGTATATTTACTTTCAGTACACTTTATGTGAGTAATGTAATCATATCAGGAAAAAATAACATCCATGTCCATGGCCATCCTTCCCAGGTCCAAAAAATGCTATATTTAATATTCTATTACATCACCCTGTTTTAGTCCCCTCACAGTTCTTAACACTATCACAATTTTCTTATTATTTTGTTACTTTTTCATTGTTTGCATTACCTCATTAGTACGTACAGGCTCTATTGACCTGAGCTTATTATTTTGTTACTTTTTCATTGTTTGCATTACCTCATTAGTACGTACAGGCTCTATTGACCTGAGCTTACAGGCTCTATTGACCTTTCTTCCCTTGAGACCTCATGTAGTTCCAAAGTTTAAAAAATTAATTCCATCTGTATGCTGACAACTCCCCAAATTATATCTCTAGCTCAGACCTCTCTCATGAACTCCAGGGTCCTATGTACAATGCACACAGACACATACACAAACTTCCATTACAGCACTACATGCATATACATCTGTTTATCCTTCATGTCCAAAACCAAATTCTGGACTCTTCCCTACTACCCCACCAACACTCCCCATCCAGAGCCTTTCCCATCTCAACTGATGGCCACTCTAACCTTTATGCAGTCATCCTCGACTCCTCCTTCTATCACATTCCACAGCCATTCCATTAGCAAATCATATTGATTGTGCCTTCAAAAAAATATATCCAGAATCTAATCAGTTTCTCATCATCCCCACTGTTACAACCCTGGCCAAGCCTTCCCCAACCCTCACCTGTATTACTGCAGTAACCTCCAAACAAGTCTCCCTGCTTCTTCTACCCTTGCCCCATCCTCCACTACAATCTCTTTTCACATTTCTGAGTGATCCTTTTACATGTATGGCAAGTCACATCAAAACCCTGCAATGGCTTTGTTTCCCTCAGTAAAAAACAAAGTTCTTTCTTTGGGCCTTTGTCACCTCTCTGACCTTCTCTCTTGCTACTTTCCTGTTTGCTCACCCTCACCTCACTCAAGTCTTTCGTATTTTCTAAATGTTCTTAACAAGAATGTTTTGTTTCTACTAACAGGAAACTTTTAAACGACAGAACTATGAAAGAGCAATCTCTCTTTTTACTCAAACGCTTTCTCTCTAAGTACAGAATAAAATAACCAGATCAAGTCTTCAGAAGAAAAAAACTAAGTTAAGTTCACGGTTAGAGCGTTAGGGCCTTAAATGCCTATGTTCCTGATGAAGCCTTCAAGGAAGCCAGGCTTCTCAAAGAAATCACACTGTACGGTGTGGTAGAATGATTTCTGGGTTTGAGATTGAAATATCTTGCTTAAATCTTCTCTCTACTACTTACTAATCGTGAGACCTTGACCAAGTCACTATTCTCTCGGATTCATAGCTCTCTTATGAGTAAAGATGAACATATGAATCTGTAAAACGCACTATACACTCGGTGCGTTACAAGAGAAATACCTGTAGATACCTACCAAAAACACATCTAATAAGGCTGACTTATTGCCAGGAATGTTATTGAAAGTTCTAGATTAATCTGTATATACAAAAGGACGCCAGAGAACCAACGAAAATATCACAAGTGTTAAGGGCCTGGTTGCAGACTGAATTTTATACAACTTCCAAAAAGACTCGGAACTGACAACTGAGAGAGGTGGAGAGACTCACTCCCTAGGAACTGCAAGGGCCAAGAAGCCACAAACACAAAGTTCCTGAAGAGAACACAGGTTTTGAAGTGTTCAGACTGAGGATCTGGATCTGGTGGGGGCAGACGGCTCCAGATGACGACGCCGGGGAAGGAGATAACTGTCAAGGGGTCCTTGGGAACTGGACCTGGATGAAACAAACCCCGAGTCGGAAAGGACGCATCGCCTTCGGAGAGAAAGCTGGAAGTTAGCTTGTAGTTGCGTCTTCTCCTGGGCGGGTCAGTTCTAGCAATTTTGTCGCCTAACCTGAACCACTCACCGGGTCAACCGGGCTGCAAGGCCCTATGAGTTGGGGACAAGCGGCCCAGACTCGGCACAGTCCGAAAAGTCGCTAGGTAGCCATGGGCTCCGGAGACCGTTGCTAGAGTAACGGGACACGGCGCCGAGCTCACCCCATCATGGCTTTCCTTGGGCAGGCCCAAGAGCTCCGGGGGCGTGGCTACGTGCGTGACGCACGCAGGGGGCGGGACAAGGCGAAACCGGACCAAGGGACGAGCTACGTTCCAGGGCGCATGCGCGCTGCGCTGGGCGGCGGGATACCTGGAAGTCTTCAGCCAGCCTCGGGAAAGGTGGCGCTATGGCTGCTGGAAGTGCAGCTGCCGGCGTATGCCTGCGGGAAGCCACCCAGCGAAAGTTGCAGAGGTTTTCAGAGCTGAGAGGTATCAGAGGAGGAACCCCAGCTCTCTCCGGCAGTGGGCAGGGCGGGTGCTTTACGGGCCGGGAAATTTGCTGGACTCACTTCCTGTTTGCTTCTCACCTGCGCGCCCCGGACGCTAGCTAATAATTCCTCTTGAGTTTCTTATTCTCCGTCCCTACCTTTCTTTACATTATGCTTGTTACTTTCTTTCTTTCACTTTGTTCCTAGTAGAATATATATCATAATAAAATAAGGAAGAAGAAAAAAATTATTAAGCTGACTAGCGAAGCTATAAAACATTATATATTTGGTGAGCTCATTAACAAAAGTTATTTTAAATAAATCTGAAAGATCTAAAGCATAGTGTTTTGGCCCTTACAAATCTGATTTTAGCCTTCTCCCACCCCCTTGCCTACTTCACCAGTTTGTTCCATAATGTGAACGCTTACTGAGTAAAAACAAAACATGGAAGAATTAGGGATTGAAAATTAAAAGGGGGAAGTTTGTTTCAAAATGTTTTTTTAAGAAAAGTCTATGCCACTTGTCATTTCCTATAGAATTGTCTAATAAAATTAGTTATATTTTTGATCAAGTTACTGCTTTAAAAGGACAGAAAATAATACATGAAGGACAGTAAAATGTTTAAGACTGTTAAATTCTAGGTGACACGTCCTGTTTGTTAACCAATAAAAGCCCGTATTCATCTTGTTTATGAGTAAAGAGCTTCCAGCTGTCCGCCAGAAGTTCAGTCTGTCTTTTCATGAGTTCGTCAGTGAGTTGGGAACTTTTCTGTTGTCCAGAATTTTATGTCATACTCCCATAGCCTTTGTAAACTTTCAGGGCTCATCTTAAGGTAATAAAAAATAAAGTACATTTATAAACAGCAACATTGTAGGAATGGATCCTTGGTTTGAATCTTTTAGCCAAGAAACACTAAGTGGTCCTGATATATGAAAATTGATTTTCAAAGCTGAAGATTCATTTATTTGTTCCTTTGTCTCCTTATTTAAGAATTAAGGTAATAATCTTTGGCAAGTCAAAAGTACTGCTCTTAAAAAAAGTTATATCTTTCACAATATCTAAATAAATGAGACTGTACACCACAAATGAAGCAAGTAATCTAAAAGAGAAAAAAAAAGTAGACTTTGTGAACAATCCTCATTAGAACTATTTTGAATCATACTAATTGGCCACTATTCATTCTCTAATTCTCAAAAGCAGAAGATACATTTATGAAGATGATAATATTACCTCTTTTTTTTTCTTTCCAAATAGGTAAACCTGTAACAGCTAGATAATTATAATATTTATCATTTCCTTGCTTTTTCCACATAGGCAAACCTGTGGCAGCTGGAGAATTCTGGGACATTGTTGCAATAACAGCAGCTGATGAAAAACAGGAACTTGCTTATAAGCAACAACTGTCAAAAAAGCTGAAAAAAAAGGAGTTACCCCTTGGAGTTCAATATCATGTTTTTGTTGATCCTGCTGGAGCAAAAATTGGTATGCATTTATGGTTAGATTTATATCCTAGGTTCTGGACAGAATAATCACTGAAGAAAAATTTACTATGGCTTAGAGTTTATAAGCTGTATATCTTTTCACCCATAGTCTTTACAAACTTTAGAATTTTAATGTAAATTCACTGTTTTTTCAGAAAGATAAAAGGCGTGGGCTGGCCCCATGGCTTAGCGGTTAAGTGCTCTCGCTCTGCTACTGGCAGCCTGGGTTAGGATCCCCGGGCGCGCACCAACGCACCGCTTCTCCACCGCTTCTCCGGCCGTGCTGAGGCCGCGTCCCACATACAGCAACTGGAAGGATGTGCAACTATGACATACAACTATCTACTGGGGCTTTGGGGGGTAAAAAAAGGGGGAGAATTGGCAATAGATGTTAGCTCAGAGCCAGTCTTCCTCAGCAAAAAGAGGATTAGCATGGATGTTAGCTCAGGGCTGATCTTCCTCACAAAAAAAAAAAAAAGATAAAAGGCGTAGTAACTGTTCTTACACATTGTGACTTACCATGAAAAATGTTGTTATTTAAAAGAGGATTTTATTAGTTTTAATAAAATTTACTCAGATGGTGAATATTCCTTTGGACCTTATCTGTAGGCCTCTTAAGATACCTCCTCACACCACAGTTTCTTCAGAAATTTACATGAAGAATGCAAATCAAGAAAAAGATATATAATCGGCCTTTTGGGACCGCAATTCAGAATGCAAAAGAGCACAGTCTAATGACTTAAGTATCACAGATATTTACTTTAAAATTTTTGTTTAGGTCAACTTTGCCTTTTGACCCTCCATAACAAATACAAATACATGCTGTTTTTCTCAGGGCCATTTTCCATGTGATACTTAAAGGTGAAGCCCCTTGATACCAGAGATAGGGTATATATATCTGACACTGGCATTGTTCTAATTAGCCAATGTTGTTTTAATCCTCAGAATTATGCAGTCACTATTTTAATTATCCTCCGTAATATATAGAAGAGAATCTGAGGCACAGAAAGTTAACTTGCCCATGGTAACTAGTGTTACACTGAAGATGTTTTTTAGGAAACCAGGTTTTAAAAACTTATTAGAAAGGAAATCTAATTTGCGTATTTGATTACGTAATGGGAGAAATATTTAAATGGTTTTTGCAATTTGTAACTCAAGTGAATGTCTTTACTTACAGTCTTCTAGTGTTGCAGGTTGCCTAATTTATCATTTCTTCTGTTTTATAAGTACTATTTCAGATGATTAGCTCATTGTTTATTACTGAGGGCTGATCTCTAGGTTTCATTACTAGCTGTTTGTTTATTTATTTAATTGCTATGAAATATATATTTAATTTGATTCTTTGCCCATACCTTTGCTCTCTGCCTAGTTAATTGTAGCAAAAAGCCATATCCTCAAAGTTATAAGACCTAAATTTACCGTAATTACAAAGTTTTAGTAGGTTTCTATGAAATAAATTTTATTTTTTAACTTTATTTTTAAGGAAATGGAGGATCAACACTTTGTGCCCTTCAAAGTTTGGAAAAGCTATATGGAGATAAATGGAATTCTTTTACCATCTTGTTAATTCACTCTGGTAAAGTTACACTTTACTAATTTACATTTTCTTTTCAGTATTTTACCTTTGATATCTTAGGGACTTTTTTTCCCTTGCAAATACTTTCCTGTCTCTTTTTTTTAATCTTTGAAGTTATTCTGCTTTGAAAACAAATATTTCATGCTTCTCTTGATATTTTAGGTTGTAAGCAGCATAATGTTTTTCACAAAATTTATCCTTAAAATTGTAGATCACATACATCATCATCTTTTCATGGATATTGTTTTTGGTATATATATATAGGAAGTTATTTTCCTAAGACAGAGCTCATCAAAATATGAACATTTCTCGGTAGTGCTTTAGAAGGGATTCTTATTTCCCTTCTAAAGGGGAGAGGCTCGTTTAGCGCTCTGATTACCAGCCTTTTGCCAAAACCTTGTATCGTGCATTTTTATCTGATTATTGGTGATCAAAGTCTACAATCTTTAAAAGAATTTAAAAACAAAAAAAAAGGTGGTGACAAAACATAGAGTTGACAAGAAAGTGTGTAAAACATTTTAAAGCAGAAAAGTAAGAAAGAAATAATCTTAGAATAAAGGATAGTTTTTTAAATTGGATAAATGTATTGTATGAAAATTTTGGTTGTATGAAAACTTCTGCTATTTTTCTCTGTATACTGGGGGCTGATGAAAACTTTGTCACGAGCTGGTACCAGGCCAGGACAGGTTATTTGAGAACGACTCATCTAGGTGGCTTCCAAGGCGCTTTCCATTTCTTCTGATTCTTATACAGAACAATGATTCCTTGTAGAGATGATATCAAGTAAAACATCCAAGTTCTGATTTTAAGACTAACTAAAAAAGTAAAAAAATTCAAATTTATAGTTTTATTCCAGAACAAGTAGTAGTATTACCAATTTAGTGAAAATTAAATTAGACACCAGAAGATACATAGTTAGAAATAGGTAATTCTTATAATGTTAAACTTCACTATTAGCTAGTCTTTGGAAAAGGAAAAAGTAGAAAGTAACCATTAGCTTTCATTTGTTGGACAATGTACTATGTGCCAAATGCTTTACAGGTATAATTGATCTCATAAAACATGATAAAGCAAAGTATTAGTCTACATTTGCTGATTTGGAGTAAATCCAAAGGTAAACAACTACGAAGTGGTGAACCAGAGTTTGAACCCATTTTTGTCTGGCTCTACTATGTAATGCTGCCTCTCACTATAATTAGTTAATATAAAAATGATGTTAGCTGTTTAACGTGTTTAAGAGAACACACTTTTCAAGGAATTAAGAAGACACAAGGCTCATCTTAGAGGGAAAAAGCCTGTTTAAACAAGTATAAATTTTTAAATACTTTTAAATAAATGCATCTTTACTTCCTTTTAGTGTATGTAATAATTTGAGGGAAAGATACTACATCTGGAAATTACTGTTTAATAGATAATTTTGGAATTGGTATATTAGTTATTTGTGACTTTTTTTTCCCCTGTGAAGTGGATTCTTAATGGAGGGGTTTAAACACGGTTGAAATTTATTGTTTCATATGTAGATATGAGATCATGTTTTAGCCCGTGGTCCTTTTTACTAGTTTTGCAGTTGATTCAAAACAATTCACAGGCCCTAAAGTATATTAGAATTCTTTTCCAACTAGAATCTTTAAAACTGCATTATGTGAAATGGCTACAGGAGAATTGCTCTGTGAATTTGTACTCTGGAATTTATTAATCTTTCCTGAGTTACAGTAATGCATTGTATGTATTAAATATCTTTAGAGACATTTTGAGTTGTAACTGATGCCCCTGGGTTTTTAAAATCTTGTAAACAATCTTACAAACATTTTAAAACAGTTATTTTGTTTAATTTCGTAGGTGGCTACAGTCAACGCCTTCCAAATGCAAGTGCTCTGGGGAAAATTTTCACTGCCTTACCTTTTGGTAACCCCGTCTATCAGATGTTAGAATTAAAACTCGCCATGTACATTGATTTCCCCTCACATATGAATCCTGGGATTCTGGTTACCTGTGCAGATGATATTGAACTTTATAGTATTGGAGAATCTGAGTTTATTAGGTTTGACAAACCTGGCTTTACTGCTTTAGCTCATCCTTCTAGTTTAACTGTAGGTACTACACATGGAGTTTTTGTTTTAGAACCTTGTAATGGTGTAGAATATAGAGACCTTGAATACAGACGTTGTCATCGTTTCCTTCATAAGCCCAGTATAGAAAAGATGCATCAATTTGATGCTGTGTGTAGACCTGGAAATTTTTCTCAACAGGACTTTGTGAGGGGTGATACTCCCTCTCTTAAATTAGACCCTGAGTATGTCTACACAGACAGCCTATTTTACATGGATCATAAATCAGCGAAAAAGTTACTGGGTTTTTATGAAAGAATAGGCACGCTGAACTGTGAAATAGATGCCTATGGAGACTTTCTGCAGGCTTTGGGACCTGGAGCAACTGTGGAGTACACCAGAAACACATCAAATGTCACTAAAGAAGAGTCAGAGCTGGTAGATATGAGGCAGAGAATATTTCATCTTCTTAAAGGAACATCACTAAATGTTGTTGTTCTTAATAACTCCAAATTTTATCACATTGGAACAACTGAAGAATATTTGTTTCATTTTGCTTCAGATAGCAGTTTGAAGTCAGAGCTTGGCTTACAGTCCATAGCCTTTAGCATCTTTCTAGCAGTACCAGAATGCTCTGCTAACACATCCTGTATCATTCAAAGTATCCTGGATTCAAGATGTTCTGTGGCGCCTGGCTCAGTTGTGGAGTATTCCAGATTGGGGCCTGATGTTTCAGTCGGGGAAAACTGCATTGTTAGTGGTTCTTATATCATAGCAACAGCTGTCCTGCCTGCATATTCTTTTGTGTGTTCCTTAAGCTTGAAGATGAATGGACACTTAGAGTATTCAACTATGGCATTTGGAGTGCAAGACAACTTGAAAAAGAATGTTAAAACATTGTCAGATATAAAATTACTTCAATTCTTTGGGGTCTGTTTTCTGTCATGCTTAGATATTTGGAATCTGAAAGTTACAGAGGAACTGTTCTCAGGAAACAAAACATGTTTGAGTTTGTGGAATGCTCGTATTTTCCCAGTTTGTTCTTCTTTGAGTGATTCGGTTACAACATCCCTAAAGATGTTAAATGCTGTGCAGAACAAGTCAACATTCAGCCTGAATAACTATAAGCTATTGTCCATTGAAGAAATGCTTGTCTACAAAGATGTAGAAGACATGATAACTTACAGGGAGCAAATTTTTCTAGAAATTACTGCGAATAGAAAACAGTCTGGTTTAGAGACATCTTAAATGTTGTATACTTTGCCTTTCTGTTTTTTTTGTGTGTGTGTGAGTAAGACTAGCCCTGAGCTAACATCCGATGCCAATCCTCCTCTTTTTTTTTTGCTGAGGAAGACTTGCCCTGGGCTAACACCCATGCCCATCTTCCTCCACTTTACATGGGACGCCGCCACAGCATGGCTTAGCAAGCCGTGCATCGGTGCGCGCCCGGGATCTGAACCGGCGAACCCCGGGCTGCCGCAGTGGAGCGTGCACACTTAACCACTTGCGCCGCTGGGCCGGCCCCGCTACTTTGCCTTTCTTGGTTGAGCAAGATTGCAGATATAGAAGTTTTCTGTAGACATTTGTTTGTTTCATTGAAATGAATTAAGAAAAATATATTAACATAATTGCTGTAGCACTACATAAATAACACAAATACACATAAGATATTTTTTGATGAAAATTAATATTTCAAGTCTAAGTTCAGAAAAAGAAATGGATGTTTATCACTATTTTTAATTTTTCTTTTAATAAAGGTGGATTTATGGAGCATTGTTTTCTTCACATAATACTATAGTAGTTTTAAAGGTAATCTTTTAAACATACCTTTAGAGTTTTTCCATCTTCTTTTGGGCTTTGGTTCCAATAAAGCTCTAAATTATTGTCAGGTCTCTCCTCAAACGTCATAGTCCTAGTCTGATGAATTAATAAAAATGGCATACTATAGGGTCTTCAGAGCACTGTACGAATACTGTAGAAATACTTTTTTGGAGACAGATCCATAGCTGACAAATTCAGATTAAATCAATGCTTAAAATACCGTGATTATCTTAATTGATAAATAACTAGATAACAAACGGCTCTGAAATTGATGATAAAAATTTATCTTATTTATTGATCTCATCAAAATGAAACAAAAAGGGTGTCTATGTTATTTTGTCCTTATAAACTTAAACATGTTTGTATATTTTAAATCTTTTCCCTAAAGTTCCATCCACAGGAAAACACACACACACACAAAACTCAAGTATCTGTGTGAGGAAGATGTTAGGAATAATTGGGATTCACTATAATCATATAAGTTCACTTTGGACATTACTCTCATCCTCTCTTATTAATCCCATTAATAGAACTGTTAAATTACCAGATGGACTGATTTTACTTTCCATTTCCTATCTTCTGTCCATGCACTGGTGATGATGCTGAGAAGCAATAAATGGCCAAAAGGTACACAGCAGGAAGGAGCCAGAAGAATAGAAGGACTGAGAAAATACACAGATGATAAACAGCTTCAAGAAAATAAAAATTGGCTGGAATCCCAAGTTATATGTTCCTATTTTGGTAAAAGCATGTGAAATGTCTTCATATCGAAGTCTAATAACAGAAAAGGTATATCCGTTTTGTGGTTTAACATGAATAAATAGAAATAAGAACTGGTCTTTGCCACTTTTATTTATGTATTAACATATCAATATGAAAGTAATTGGAAAACCAGAAGTAACTTGTCTGCAACCCTCAATTATAATATTTGTGTGTGTGTGTTCTTTTTTTCAAGGTTCTTCCCAAGGAGAAAATAGAGATATATGGTAGCTATTGTTTAGCATTTACTGATTTACTTGCAGACCTTTCAGAGGATATGTGTTTGTTGTTCATTAAATGTTCAATACTGTATTTCATATAATCTAAAGTGCCATCAATTATTAAGAATCACCATTATTTTATGTTCCACTGAAAAAGAGAAAACACTACCAATAAAATATGCTGCAATGCTTTCTTTGTTACTTGAAGTTTTTATATTTATTTATTGGGGATCTCTTTTAAATGCAGTTAAATATAGATTTTTATTGTTTAACCCTCTTGCATATACATATAAAGGAACAAAAAAGTGAAATATTGAGGTATAGTTAAGACTATACCTTATGTATAATGAAAACTTCACATTCAGAACCAAACTCTTCTGAAGCACTTTTCAACTCAAAAGTTGTTGATATCCATGTATTTCCATCCAGTACCATCTTATGTGCTATCTGTTGTATTGGTATCTGCATTTCCTAAGAGTGCCGTCACTGCACCACTGTCTGGATTTTCCTCCAACCTGTCGACACCAGATACCTGTTCTGCAAGTTTTGATGCTAATGCTTTGCTTTTGACAAAATTCGGTTTCATTTTTGCCTCAGCTCAATCACAAGTCTCTAGAAGATAGGTGGCTTCTATTCAAAGTCGGTAGGAAGTTTCTGACAAATTGGCAGCCACCATTTTAATCATACTCTTGCTCAATTATGGATTCTGGCTGCTTTGAAACGTTATCTGTACCAAAGAATTTGACAGTGTCTCTTGCCTTGAGATGCATTGCTTGGTGCGTAGTACCACACATGTCCCACCAGCAGTGTACCTAACTCAGCCGAAGTGATAATCACATGCATGTATAAGTAAGAAATTGAAAATTTCCTCTTGACATATCATTTTTATTTTATAAAATCACAGCCCTTAAATCATATACTCTCAAAGTTTGTAAAGGTCTGCTATTATTTGCAATTAAGTGTATTCCATAAATTTATTGATGAGTTAATAATTAAGTGACCGAGCAGAGCATGGGAAAAATTCCAACATTTGGTATTAATCTCCTACTTTAGGCATTTATTCTCCATACTAAGCAAAACAGAAATAAGGAGTGTGTATCAATGTATACTAAGTTGAAATAGAACTTCCAAAATTCAAGTAATTTGCTGAAAGTCACAAAAACTTGATGGTATGAATCCAGAATTAATTCCTATGACCTGTGGTAATCCATTAATTTTCTGAGGCTAAGCAATACTTCCCGTGTTATATAAAGATTACCAAATTCAGCATAGAGCCAAAATCAAAACTTTGCTGCAAAATGTACATATGGCTGTCACATACAGCTGGTAACTGGTGTATTACACAAAATCAGGGATGCCGTTCACATACACCATGATGTCCTCTGAACTTGAGCAACTTAGAGGCCCAGAATTTAGGCACCTTGATGTAGTCTCGCAGAATTAAGATGGAAAGAAAAAGCTAAAAAAAAAAAATTATTAATTTGTTCAAAACTGTGTGGGGCCAGCCCGGTTGTGCAAGCGGTTAAGTGCGCGTGCTCCGCTGCGGCGGCCCGGGGTTTGCCGGTTCGGATCCCGGGCACGCACTGACACACTGCTTGGCAAGCCATGCTGTGGCGGCGTCCCATATAAAGTGGAGGAAGATGGGCATGGATGTTAGCCCACGGCCAGTCTTCCTCAGCAAAAAAAAAAGAGGAGGATTGGCAGATGTTAGCACAAGGCTGATCTCACCAAAAAAAAAAAAATCTGAGGCCAGCCCGGTGGCGCAAGCGGTTAGGTGTGCACGCTCTGGTGCGACGCCCCAGGGTTCGCCTGTTCGGATCCCGGGGGCGCACTGACGCACTGCCTGGCAAGCCATGCTGTGGCGGCATCCCATATAAAGTGGAGGAAGATGGGCATGGATGTTAGCCCACGGCCAGTCTTCCTCAGCAAAAAGAGGAGGATTGGCAGATGTTAGCTCAGGGCTGATCTTCCTCACAAAAAAAAAAAACTGTCCAAAGGATTTTCAGATGCTCTTTTTGTTCTTGTTTAGCTAAACAAAATACAAGTCTTTATGTCAAGAACTAAATTATTAAAGGAAAAAAAGACCTTTTTATTTATTTATTTATTTAGGTGAGGAAAACTAGCCTTGAGCTAACATTCAGTGCCAATCCTCTTCTTGTTGCTGAGGAAGACTAGCCCTGGGCTAACGTCCATGCCCATCTTCCTCTACTTTATATGGGACACTGCCACAGCATGGCTTGACAAGCGGTGCATCGGTGCGCCCCCGGGATCCGAACCTGCAAAGCCCAGGCGGCTGCTGCAATGGAACGCAAGCACTTAACCGCTGTGCCACCGGACTTGCCCCAAGACCTTTTTAAATTTACTTGAAACGTACCTTCTTTAATTCACTTAGTGCAGGAGAAATAATTGAAACAACCATTAGCTGCTTAGTTTAACTTAAATCTTTTGTGCCTCTAAAATTTTGTTTAGACAAAGCCAATTTCTATTGAGGTTGAGGAACACAACTTTTGTTTATACTTAGTGGAACTGTACTATTAATATTCCTTGTATGAACTTCGTCAGAGGTTACTGCACATTCTCCTTCCCTCCAATACCAGTGTGCTAAGCTCCATATAACATCCTAGTGTTCTCATGCTCCCTTTTGTCTATATTCACAGAAATTTCTGATTAGTTTCTTTTGTTGTTGTTTTTTGTTTTTATGAGGGGCAAATTACGCCAATCTCTGCTATCTACATGAGCCACAACAAACCAAACTTACCACATCATTCAAACTTGCCAGTTTGGCTGTAGTCTAGGAGACCACAATTTTGGGTCAAGTTAAAAATTGGAATAAAGGGATAATGAAAGTCGCCAATTCCCTACTGGATTAACATTTGCAAGAACAGGAGGTGAAGGAAGAAGATGCCTGTGAATTAGTCACTAGTATCATCTGCCTTTAAAGTGGCTTGATTATTGACTTTTGTGTCTAAAGATGTTCATCCCAAAGGCATTATTGCCCATGCAAGTAAATGATTGAAACTAACAGACTTAATGTTTCCTTCTGGGCTGGTTGGACAAATAGTCTATCTTTTGAAGCCTCTGGCTGCAGGAATCTAGTAGCCTTCCAAAGTATAAAATTCAACATTGAAACAGAGCAATTCATCTCTGATTGCTGCAGACTGGTGTAATCCGTCTGCCACTGTCGTTTCCTACTTCTCTGTGCAGAATTATATTCCTTCAATTGTACTTCAATGCATCACTGAAACAATCTAAACTCTAATGTCTATATTCTTTGGGCATTGTTTTATGGTGTGTTACCGATCTGCTTGTTGAATCTCCAACCTCCTTAAAGGCTCTTAAAATCTTTGCTGCAACCAACACTTTGTGGTTAAGTAATGTGAATGATTTCTTTAATTTCTTTTCTTTACTAGTATCCACTCTTTTCTCTCTGCAGAACATTTAGATGGTTCAAGTTAGTTTTCATTTACCGCTTCATTGTAGGAGAGTATCGCTTTGCCCAGAAAAGAATTAAAGCATTTACATCTTGAGGCAAAAATCTTTTAAAACACAAGTCTGGAAATCAAGTAAGTGTTCATTTCATTTGCAGGTTGAGAAATGTTGCACTACTCAATGAAGTTTTACATGATTGGTTTCTTTCCTATTATTTTTAGCCTTGGGGTTTGAGAAAGTAAATTATATCCACCAATATGCTGTTCTTCAGAGAAGTTTCAAACATTTTTAATAAAATCGAGAATTAGAAAACTTTTACTACACAAATAATTATGATCATACAAGTGGTTCAAGTGCAGATTTTAAATGTACAGGCACACTGACAAGGTCATAAATTAACTTATAAAATTCACTACTTATATATCACTGTGATCAATTTTTAATGAAATTTAATAAGAAAGATCATCACTCATTATAATCGGTTAAAAGTTAGTAGAGTTTCTAATTAACCATTATCCAGTCAAATCAAAAGCTGTCCATGGAAGGTAGCCTGTGAGAAGGAAGAGAGGAGGTTAGAGTTTTACAGAAATTCTGTTTTAGTTGTTACAACTGCTGATGTTTAGATACAAAAGAAATGTTTGCTAAGAGTTCAGTAGAGAAGGAGCAAGTCACAAAATTATCCATGTTTCATGTATCTGTAATCTATCTACATATCTCTGGACTACAAACAAGCTATAATTTCTTAAAACATAAAAATAAAGAAATAAGCAACAACAAAAACAAAACTTTTAGCCATATTATTTCATCATCATACAGTCTACTTTATGTTTTATTTACAATGGTTTTGAATTTGTCTCTATAATATACTCAACACTGAATTCTAGATTTGTATATGTACCTTCCTGCTTCATATCTCTCCCTCACTAAAAAAAAGATCCAGTAAGCATCCTCTATTTAGAGAGTTCTTATCTTCCCTCTATCAATCCTGATGATCTTTTCCGTCTAGATAAATATCCCAGTTATCCACCAAATAGATCAAAGCAAAAACCTAGAAGTCATCCATGACTCCTCACACACTTTCCCTCATCCTTGTCGTCCAATTCGTCAGTAAGTGCAGTCTACACATTGGAAACATAACCAAAATCCATCCACTTCTCTCAACCCTTATTCAAGCTACCAGCCACTGTTAACTAGGCTAATGCAATATAACACCCTTTTATGTGCAGTAATAAACTGTCATCTGATTTTCATAGTTGTGCATGAAGGCAAAGTTGCTGGGAGACTGCAAAAGAAAGATATTTTATAAGATTGACGTTGAGTTGTATTGGGCATCGAGAGGAAAAGGAATACTGTGGCCATGTCAGCCTTGCTTCACTTATTTGATCTGTGTTTATATCTCACTTTGCTCCCCTGAAGACTGCCTTTTAGGATGACAATTCATACTACTTTCTAACATTCTAACACTTCTTTTTCTGTGAAGTTTTGCTTGGTGATATTCTGCAATCTCAGAATATCACATTATTTCTGTAAACATCAAATATTACATTGTTTTCTATCTTTTCCAGATTTATATGTAATCAGATGTCAGCTGGAATTTTGCCTCCCCTTTAGATATAGGCAACATTAGCCCAGCCTCCATTCTAAGCCCCATAGATGTTCAGAACTTCTCCCAAATATCTGTGAATTCCTGGAGAGCATATATTTTCACAATTGCCTTAGGT